ATTAAATAAAAAATTCACATTTTAAATAACTTATATTTATTATTTATATTTAAAAAATCATATTTGAGAAAATTTTTAATATAATATAAAATATATACGTAATAATAAGTAAATATTGATATTGATGGATTTTATTAGTAATGGAATTTTATAAAAATTTTCATTTTCCTTTAAAAAGAAAATCACAAATTAAAACCTTGAAAATTAGTTATGGAAAAATGAGTTTTGCTCATTAATGCCTAATTATTTGACCTGAATGAGCTGTGATGATCACGCAGGTAAGCGCAAATTTATTTTTGCATTATAAAATTTTGAATGTTTTGTTGTAGTTACAGTTATTTTACTGTTTATGGAAAATTTTTAAATCCTTTATTCTAGGAAAAGAAATACATAATATTATAAGGAAGTATCTAAATAAAATGTAAATTAGTGTATAAGCAAAATTGTATAAAAGAAATTCCATCAAATTTTCATGTATTTTATATTATATTAAAAATTTTCATAAATATAATTTTTTAAATATAAATAATAAATATAAGTTATTTAAAATGTGAATTTTTTATTTAATATAAAAAATATTTAATAATAACATATTTAAAAATAATATATATTATAATACATATTGAATAATAAAATAAATTTTATGTAATAAAATAATACAAAAAAACATGTTTTTAATTTTCTGCATAGAATAACAACAAAAAACATAAAACCGTACAAACAAAGCAAACGCTTTCATCCCTCAAATAATTTGTGTGATGCACGTTTGTTTGCATTTTGCGCTCTCACTTCACCTTTTGCTTACGAAGTCTTCGAAGTCTTCGAAGTTTTTCACTACATTTCAACTTCGAAGACTTCGAGAACAAAAATTCACAAAAACTTCGAAGTTTTTTCCAACTTCGAAGACTTCGTTGAAATGCGAATATTCGAATATTCGAAGAACTTCGAATTTTTAAAAACTTCGAATAATGTGAACAGCACTAATATATAGCATATTTTTTAGACCATAATATTATTAAAAACAGTTATTGTAATTTAGGAAACAATTTAGTATTGTTTAACAAAAGTAATATTAACAAAAATTAAGACAGAAAAAATTAATTAATTAGTCTTGTCTACACGTTAAAATAATTTTTTATAATTGAGTTTATGAACTTAAAATCCTTTCTTTTAAATCTCCATGGATTGTGTCTTACTAAGAGTTTCCTATCTGGATTATAAGAGTGGTTTGATAGTCTTCATATATATAATTGTGATCTAATTTTTCACTTTCCTCCTTGATCAGATTGAGCCTTATTTCCTTGTGAATATTAATATTTTTAAACACCAAGGAACCAAGAACTATCTGTAACGCAATCTTTGGACTCTGTCTAGAATTGAGTTGGATTCAGTTGTATCGCCTACGTCCAGAACGGTTTTACTATTGTATTACTAATAGTAACACTTTATTATCTAGACTAAGTTTTGATTAAAGACCAACAATCCAATCGAGCTTAGAAATGCTCAGTTTTCCTTGTATAGGTTTCTTATCTGTATGATTTTTTCATGTCAATCTCTTGTACAGTGTCAACTAACTGTATATGTTTGGGGAATTGTTGTGCCATTAATAATCAAAGTCGGATATGACCCTTTTTTTAGACTAAACATAATAATTTAGAGTAAAATTTGATTCAATAAGTCTAAATTTCCACTTAGTTGGCTGTTCCTCCGCTTTATTTAATTGCTACTGCAACATTATTTGTGGCAGTAATAATATTTGAGTGAATATAAGTACTCAGTATTGCTATATCTAGTTTATATTACATAAATTATAGGTCCCAATACACTTTCTTGCCGAACACCAACAAAGAATAGGGAAACTATCAGAGATATATTTTCTTTGACACACTCGAAATGAATTGCTAAGAAGGAAGCATTTTAATATGTTATGTACGTTGGAAGGAGTTATGTTACTTAACTTGAACAACTTATACAACTCATACAACTCATTCAATTAACTGAGTAATTAAATTAAGGTTATCCAATTATAGTTATTCAGTATTCATCATAGACTTGAAGTTGTCATCATAGACTTCCCTAGTTGTGCTCTGAGGGCTTATTGTTTTTAACGCCATGACGCTTTGTCTTAATATATTTTTACAGTAATTTTTTTTTTGTTTTGATCTTCCATACAGTAATGATAAAAAAAAACTCTTAATCAAGTAAGTGTTACCAACTACAGCTGTTCCTGTTTCGAAACTTAAAATAAAATTCATCTACATACATTTTTTAAGCATTTGTAAAAAAAAATTCAACTTTAATTGAATTTATTTAGTAACATTTTAGATTAATTAATTCAAAATAAATATGTATTCACGTGGATATCGGTAGCAACTTTGTTAATGAAGTATTTCCTAGAGCTACATTTTTTTTGACCATAAAGAAAATTATTTTAATTAAATGCATTTAGCAGCTAAAGGTTTTAGCATAGCTTTAACTTTAGCATATCTTAAACATTAGCTTAAACCTTAGCATAGCTTAAACCTTAGGTAGAAGCAATAACTACTGCTTCTTGAACAGATTTTGCCTTGCTTAAACTATAAAACTTTATGTTTTATCTTATGTAAGATGTAAATGTGTACTTCAGAGCTTAATAAAACATTTTATGCAAAAATTTTATATTATGTAAAATGAGCTGTAAGTTGACTTTTTATGTGGATCGTGATTTCACTGAACAATACTACCATTTTATGCTATACTCACGCTTTTCCAAAGGCTACTCGAAATTATTTGGAATTGAAAACGATTTCCATTAAAGCCACTTTAATTTATAAAAGTAAGGTTTTGTCATAAATTTTTGTATGATAAAAAATAAATTCTCTAAATTAGCACATCCCAGCATCCTACAAGGGAATGACCATCACATATAGCCCAGCATAATCATAGCTTATACGTGCTTACGCCCCTTTTTATTAGAAGTCATAAGCATCTCTTATTAGAAAAGTGTTTGCAAAAATAATTTATTCAAAAACGATTAATGACCAACGATTAATATCTACACCACCCCTCATGCATTACTATGAACAACAACAGATCATAGATATAACAAGATTTCTGCTTATAAATTTTCTTAATTGAATATCTGTTCAAAAATTGACAGAGGATTTGTTTTAAATTAACAATTATTTATTAGCTGATAACAAACTGATTAACCTTGTTACTATTTATTTTTATATCAAGACAAACTGAAACCGCAGAAAATCGAAAAAAAATCCAGCTTAAAGTCAAGTAGGTCATAAATAATATTATTTATTATATAGAAAACTAATAAAACGTTAACAAAAATAATAAATATTTAAAAATATACAAAAAAATATAAATAAATATTTTTTGATATATGAGCAAAGGTTTTTTCTGTTGACAGCACAATCCGCCCGACAAATGCGTGCAGAAAACATAAAATTGTTTTAAAACATATATAAAAAATGTTTCTACAATTTCAGGTATATACCATT